TGGGTCCCCTGCCCCCCGCCCCCCCATGGTACACAGCCTCACCGCAGCAGCAATAGCCATTGGGTTGCTCATGGTCAGCTCCTGGAAGAGAGCCATACTGCACTGGCCCAGCCTGCTAGCATGCGCCCTCAGGTAGGAACAAGCTAGCTCTTGCTGCCACCTGGGCTCCTAGCAACTCGCACAAGAGCAACGTGCCCTTGAGCTGGGCTGGGTCCTGCCTCCATGGAGCTGGCCCAGTGCAGTGGTGCATGGGACACATGAAGGCAGGACCCGAGGGTGCACAGTTCTCACGTGTGGTCCCAGGAGCCTGGGTGATAGCAAGAGCTGGCCTGGTCCTGTTTGAGGGTGTGTACCAGCGGGCTGGGCTGGCAGAGTGCACCATGTGCAGCTGCTGGGGGCCTCTGCCAGGAGCTGTCCACGAGCACCTTGACAGCCTGCTGCTGCTGCAGGGAAGCTGTGTGCCATGGGGGAGGTGGGGGTGGCACATAGAGACACTCTGGCTAGGTGCTAGAGTGTCTCTCTGGAGGACTCAGTGTCCGGTTGCTTCAGGACATGCTTCAGGAGCGTGTCCTGCACAACTTTTTTTTCAGCATGCTTTTTTTTTATACCAGGATTTCCCAGTATCAAATTTAGAATCTGCACTGCAAATATGCAGCACAGGGAACGTTTTTTCAATCCCAGTATGCCTCTTGTGGCATCTCAAACTGCTTTGAGACACTGCAACATGCATGTGCTTGCTTGTCTGCACACGGCTAAGGGGTGCATCCCCAAGAATGCACACACAGTGCATGTGCTGCTAATGGGCAGCATGGTGGGTTTTCTGACACTGGGAGATCCTGGTGTAAAAAAAACAAACCACTGCTAAAAAAGCAGTGCAGCACATACAGTAGCAGTGTGTGCTACCAGAAAGGGAGCTTGGCCAGCCAGAGCTACACTCTGGCTGCCAGTCTGGCTCCAAGAGCACAGATTGCCACTGCTGCTGCCCCAGGAGGTCCCCAGGACTGCAAGCCAGGCTGCTAAAGCCAGCCCAAGTGCTGGCCTCAGCCTGTCCTACTGCACCTGGGACAATTTGCCCCATACCAACCCCATGTGCAGGGGCGTGCACAGTGGCAAAAAGCAGTGGCACAAATTTGTACTCCTGCTATTTTTGCTGTGGCAACTGGACAACCCTGCACATGGGGACACACCCAAGGGTCTCAACTAGGCAGCCCTTGGAAAATTCCAGTTTAGTTTTCACACTTTTTAATTTTTTGCTTACAGAAAAATAGTAGAGCAGTTTTCTGTTGCAAAGAACTCAGAAAAACCACAACTATGGATTTCTGTTTGAAATCTCTGGGTTTGTCTTGTGAAGCATGTTTGTAAACTTAACAGTGCTAACATCATGTGGCATCCCACAGCACTCTTGAAAGGATCTCAAAGCACTCTGGTTGAGAATCACTGCTCTATACTTGTCTCGATGTTGAAGAAAATGATGTTTCTCTGCCATATAAACATGTATAGGTCATTAAAATCTCAGGCACATCTACATTGTATATTACATGCATTCCTAAATTCTTATATTTTAAGGAACGAAATAAGTAATATGAGTGTTTTATAGCACTGGTCTTTGAAACATTAGTTAAACAAAATAGTTATGAGACCTGCTTTTCAGAGGCCTTTTCTTTATTTTAGTTGAGCTTTGATATTACTATCACTGTTTACCTCGCTGGAGTTGCTTCTAGTTAACATGAGTGTACACAGGAGAATTTGGCACAGT